AGCTACCTCACAAGAATAATTTTTTAATCAACATTAACCTACCTCTTTCCACAGAAAGGGAACACATTGGAGACTCTGAAATTGCAAATTTCAGCTCTAGAAAAAGTCATCAATCAAGCCAACACTTTGAGGGAAAGATGGAGGAACACAAATAACGTAGCAAAATTTGAAACCAAAAATTTGGTTAGCTCAACATGGAGCTTTTCATCGTGTTCTGATTTGAGGCAATTTTGCCCAGAAGCCAAAAATAACAACAACAAAAAACGTCACCGTTTGTTATGTCCGGCGTCTACGTCAACCCTGGTCCGGCCGCATAAGATGACCGGCGCTGACTGGGTATCTACGTAAGCACTTTCCGAGGTAAATTGGTCGGATTGACTCAATTCGCAAATTATCAAAAGATTTAGGACTCAATCGGCAAAATCGAAAAGTTTAGGACTGAATTGGCAAAAGTACAATAGGTTTAGGACTTTTTGGATAATTTTCCTGAGTTTGGCCATTTATGAATAAGGGAATCAACAACTTGAAGGAATCGATGAATAATGGGTTTGACATTTGGATGCAACTATCGAAAAGTCACTATCAACATAGTGGAATAAAGCAACGACCGAAATAGTGAAGTTAACGAAACTGTCAAGATAACGGAGTTGATGAAACCATCAATATAGTGGAGTCAATGTAACCATCAATGTAACTGTTCAGTAACCGTTTGTAACCGTCAATTATAGGCTTTAATAGCAACATTATACTCTTTGTATGCCCCCCTCCCAGGCACAAAAAAACAAAACATGCTATCTCTCAATTATCTTTCATTTCTTGTATCGTAGCTGTAGTTTCATGTGTATCTTAGTTATAGCTTTTAAATCGTCTCCCGTCAATTAATTATGGCATTGCATCTTTATGTCATCAGACTTTGTCGTCGATTAAATTCTGGCAAAGTTTGTATACGCTTGATTCCGTTGAAACTTGTTTATCGATTTTCTTATGTACTTGTGATATTCCTGTTTAGAATCACCACTCCTCTTATAAATATCGAAGAACGATTTTTGGTGAAAGATATTTCGTCGCCAAATCCAATTCAAGGGAAATATCTTTTTGACACACCAGTGGGACCAATGTGGTTTATTTGAAAAAGTACAATGCCGAGAGCACGGAATCACTTAGAGCCTGATCACGCTGCGAGTAACAACCCTGGTGAAAGAGTTACTTAGTCCGAGACTTCAACAACTCTTACAGTAATAGAGACAAGCCAAGGTGGAAACATCAACATCTTGGAACACCTCATAGAAGAACAGGCAATGAAGTTGGCATCAAATATTATTTTGGTGATTACCATGAAGAGGCTAGTCGAGGAATAATAAGATGGCAAATCACTTACTGAGACATCTCATCTCTCTGATGTGATCAAGTCGATGGTTGTTAACGTGATCAATGATGTCATCTCAAGGCCGGGGACATCCAATCAGTCTATATTGATCCAACCCAATACAACGGCTTTCGGGTATGTTCTTCAAGCTCTTAGTCAATTGAACGGTGAAAATAATTTAGGCCAAATGATCCTACTATCAGTGAGAATTTTACAAAGGCCTAAAAATCCCAACTAAATGAATTGAGCCGAGGGAGATGACAAAGTTAATCCAGTCCGAATCAGGCCTAAGAAGGTCAGGCTTATCGACCTATCTACCCTGAACTTGGGGGGGGGGGGGGGGGTAAGAAGGTCAGGTTATCAATTTCTAGATATTTATTGAATGGCATATACAATTGCACAATGATTTGGCGTTGACAAAGAAATTGTTAGACTAGTGTATGGAAAGCCACATCCCGATTGCATCAATAACATACCATACCCAAGAGAATTCAAACTCCTGATTTCACTGCTTATACTAGTGAAGATGACTAATCGACCGTTAAACACATTGGTCGATTTATTGCCCAATGTGAAGAGACAAGAACAAATGAATTCCCGAGACTTAGGCTGTTCCTTTCGTCTTTATCAAAAATTGTATTTACTTGGTATACGAATTTATCTTCCAATTCAATTCATACTTTGGCTGAGATGGAAATACAATTTTATTCTCAATTTTATAAAGCGATACCTGAGGCATCGATTGCTGATTTGGCCAAACTTTATCAATATGATAATGCGTCGGTTGATCAGTTTGTTGCCCGATTCAAGAGGCTAGATATAGACACATTACTTCACTCTTAGAGAAAGAACTCACAAATTTAGCTTTCAGGGGATTGAAATTCGATCTTAGAGAAAAATTCGAAGGCCAAAATCTTGTTGATTTATTCCAACTATGTACAAGGGTGTCTAAGTATAAGCAACTACTTAAGGATAAAGATAGAGGGCCGCATGAAGATTTTACACAAAACGTGTTTTGTGGAAAAAATGAGTCAAATGATGAATCTAACCAAGATAAACTTCGACAAGGAAAAGTCAAATTTACCGATGACAATGGAGCACATGATGACTCCTAATTATTTAATTTAAAATAATCAAATGATCGATGAATCATTAAATTCTGTTAAAGGGGGCATTTGTTTACACTAAAAAATAACCAACTTTTGGTTATTATTGACAAGTAATAGACTTAGTCAATGAGAGCAGAGTTTGGCCATTTATAAACAAGGGAATCAATAGCTTGAATGAATCGACAACCTGAAAGAATTGATAACTTAAAGGAATCGATGAATAGTGGGGTCAACAATTGGGTGCAACCGTCGAAAAAGTAACCATCAACGTAGTGGAATAAAGTAACTGTCAAGATAATATAGTCGATGAAACCGTTCCGTAACTGTTTATAACTGTCGATCGTAGGCTCTAAATAGCCACATCGTACTCTTTGTACCCCCCTCTCAGCACAAACAAATAAAACATATTATCTCTTAATTATCTTTTATTTCCTATATTGTAGCAGTAACTTCCATAAATCTCGTTGTAGATTAAATTACGGCAAGGCGTGTATCCTAGTTGTAGCTTTCAGATCCTTGTCGTCGATTAAATTCTGGTGTTGCATCTTTATGTCATCAGGCTTTGTCGTCGCTTAAATTCCTGCAAAGTTTGTGTACTTTTGATTATGTTGAAACGTGTTTCTCAATTTCCTTCTGTACCTATGATATTTCCTGTCTAGAGTTGCCATAGAATCTTTCTCCTCTTATAAAAAATCAAAAAACGACTATGAAAAATATTTTGTCGCCGGATCCAATTCGGGCGAAACAGACACCTAAAGAGTATGGAAATCTGTCCTTCCAAAGTAGGATTCATTTGTGCTCGCAAAGATCAATAGCAACATTATTTGTGTTAGCATTATCTTAACTGATAGGAAAAAAAATTCCAGCAATGTTGAATTTTAAATTGGATTCTTTACAGATGTAGCAAGAACAGACCTAATGTGCGGATAAAGAAGAATGTAAATAAACACTAAGTTTGAGATTTAGGATGAAAAAGGGGCCACGCTAGGGATCTGTCCGGCCCATTTGCCACCTCTAGTAGGTGTATGGCCATCTCTCGAAGTTTTCTGTTCAACAACATCTTCACCACAGTCGGGCAGGATCTCAAAGTCTGAAAATATTTTGAGAAAAGATGTGATTATTCCATGTCACGGAGCGTCTTACGTCGCACCGATAATTTTAGACAAAACGATTTTATTTTGCTTAATTTTCTGAAATTTCTTTTTTTCTCTTTTTTCTCTTTTTTCTTTTTGTGTGTTTTTTGTCAGATGAATACTAGCACCATAGTTTTTGCAGATCTGAATGTGGAGCACGACCCACTCTCGATCACATCCTCCACCGCACAACATAGTCATGCCGCCGCTGTCGGACCGCCTCTCGATGAGCTAAATACTCGTCTTCCATGCTCATCAAACTTGTGGCCATCGAGATCTCGGTAGGCTCAACGGCCATGGGCCGAGCCTCCAGATCTCGGCGAGCTTGGCAACTCCTCCTCCATGGCCGTCGAGCTTTCGACCATTGAGAGCGAGACAACTCGGTCAGCCCAGATCCGGCACATTCAGTTCAACTTTGGAGGAAGAAAAGGCCCACTCCTTGAACCCGATCACGCGAAGCACATTCAGTTCAGATATGACTCAGCGTGCCTTCGCAACCGAGCCCCCCGTCACATGCCCAAGTCCACACACACAAATTGCAATTGCAGACCCACTACTCCTTGAACCCTACAAGCAACTCGCACAAGCACATTCAGTTCAGCTTTTCGCGTAAGAGAAGAAAAGCCAAGGGCGAGGTCGGAGACGGAATAACCTCATTTTAGAGAGAATTTGAGTTGTTTGGCATGGATTTGAGTTGTGGCATTATTGACATGGATGATGATAAAATGTCCCGTCGAGCATGGCGATTTGAGACAGCTATGTCGCACGTCCAAGCCAATCAGGGAAGCTGGAAGTTCATCCGGACGAAAATGAAATATAACAAGGAAAGAAATGAAAAAGAAAACAAAAAAATCTGGCAAATTCAAAAACAAAACGAAAGGCGGCATTTCATCTAGAATTGTCCACCTCAGATCAACGACCATGCTATGTATAATGACCGGTGACAAATAAACTGCCACGTCAACAATTTCAAATGAAAATTGGCCAATAAAATTACATGGGAATAAACACGTTTGAGAGGGAATGAGTTGTTTGGCATGATTAGATTTGTAGCTTACTTACATGGATGGTATGATAATATGTCACGTCGAGCATGATGATTTGAGACAGCTATTTCGCATGTCCAAGACAATCAAAGAAGCTTGAAGTTTAGCCGGAAGAAAATGAACAATAACAAGGAAAGAAAAAGAAAAAGAAAACAAAATATCTAGAAAATTCAAAAATAACACAAAAGACCTCATTTTGTTTAAAATTAAGAATGTCCATGTCAAATGACCGAAATGAATCGTCCGTCAACAGGTTCAAGTGAAAATTGGCCAATAAAATTAGGTGAGAATTTCCCGTTAAATTTAAAATTATGCTAGAACAATTGAAAGATTTAATATTACAATGAAACTCATTTCGATTTGGACTGATAATTTTTCTCGAAATTTAACATTTGCCATTAAATTACTGCACCGCGCATTATTAACATCAAAAACTAATTAATCAACCAAAATTTTCTTAAACACAGGAAAAGCACCTACAAACATGATCTCCTCTCATCATCATCTCCAACTCGTCTCAGCCATCGTGGAGTTCACATAATCTCTAACCTCCCTCGCAATCACCCCTCTCATCACCTCCCAAAACCCCTCCTCCGGCAACCCTTTATCCTCCCGCCGCCTCTCCGCCGCCGCCCCAGGCGGAGCAAGAGTCAATGCAGTCAATGGCCCGTCCTCCTCCTCCTCGGTGTCCATACGGCAGCCACTTACTGACATTTGCTCGTTGTAACAATCGTTCCCGTGATTCGCGCCATCGCCTCTGTGCTGCGCGGCGGAGGCCCTTCTCTTGAGGGTGGAATTCCAGTGGTTCTTGACGGCGTTGTCGGTCCGGCCGGGGAGCATCCGGGCGATGGTGGCCCACCTGTTGCCGTACACGGCGTGCGCGGCGAGGATGGCGTCGTCCTCGGCGGCGGAGAAGGGCCGGTGCTTGACGGCGGGGCTGAGCTGGTTGCACCACCGGAGCCGGCACGACTTCCCGGACCGGCCCTCGATGTGGCGGCTGATGAGGGACCAGTTCCTGGGCCCGTACCGCTCCACGAGCCCGGTCAGGACGCGGTCCTCCTCGGCGCTCCACGGGCCCTTGACACGGTCCGTCCTGCGGGCGGAGGAGGCCGGGTTCCTGCGTGAGGACGAATCGGAGGAGGAGGAGTCGGAGGAGGAGGAACATGCAGGAGACGACAGCCTATACGTCGCATCCATTCCAAAGAAAAGCTTCTTCTTCTTCTTCTTCTTGGGTTTCTGTGGTTCTTGGAAGAGTGAGAGGCGAAGGAGTGAGGCTAGTGCTTATATATATGCGAGGGAGAAAGAGAGAAAGAGAGAGAGAGAGGATGGAAAGCAAGCGGCGCCTGAGGGGGAGTGCTGCTTCCAGGAAACTGGGTCGTGCAAAGTTGGTGGTGGTGGGGGGGGATCGTAGCCAAGGAGGAGATAGATTTATTCTGAGACGAACAGTTGTTTTGGTTTTCTTGGTCTGTAAACAGTTGTTTTATTATTAGGGTTGTGATTTTTTACTTTCTGGGAGACAGCTTGACAAGATGCAGCTATCGATCCGCTGCTGTTTGCGAACGGCCAATTAGGGTTTCCTGTCAATATCTTCCATTAAGATATGCAATCAACGAATGAAAGACTGTATAAAAGAGAGTTTGTCATTTTCAGTGCATCGCGTCTCTTGTGTTATGAGTAGTCGGTGCGTTTGATGTGAAAAACAAGCACTCCCTTCTTAAGTATTCATTTATTTCGTCGAAAATAAATAATCTGAAAAATATTTTTCTAAAAATGATCGCTTGCATCACTTATAAACATATTCATTGTATAAAATGAATCTAAAAAACAATAATAATTTAGCATCATACCTAAAAAGATTTAAGGGTATGATGTTCCATAATTGCGTGTACAACGGTTAATAAGGCAAGTGGTATTGTCGTGAAATATTGTTATCGTTCGATGACTCGAGTTAACCTTTAAAAATGGGTACTATAGGTAAGTTATATATAGATATAGATACATATATATATATATATATATATATATATTTCCGTTAAGAAAGCAAGTCGAAAAGTATATACAGAGCCATGTTTTTATTCATTAATGGTTTGAACTATATGATAGGGAAATCATTCTTTCCGAGTAACGTTTAAATTATGAAGAAAACAAATCATACGAATATACAGAGTTAAATTTTCCTCCATCTCCTCAAATCAAGTTTTTTTCATTGTTGCCATTGCAAACATGTAGATTACCCACATTAATTTTCTTAATTAAGTTTGTATATATGTAATGTCCAAATTTAGGGAAAATTTCAAATAAGGCCCCAAAGTGGATGAGTTTTCTTAAAAGAGGACCCAAAGTGAATGTTGTCTCAAATAAGGGTCTGAAATGATTATTGAGTTTCAAATAGGGGTCTGAAGTGATAAATTTTTTCTCAAACAGGGGTCTGAGCTTACCAACCGGTCAAATCTTCGCCGGTCGGCGAGCATGTGCTTATTCCGGTGGCACGAGCAAGGGTATTTTTGTCCAAAGCCATTTCTTTTTTTTTGTTTCTTTTTCTTTTCCTTTTCCTTTTTTTACTGTTCGTCTTCTTCAGGGAGCAAGATCGTGAGCATCATCCTCGTCATGGTCATGGTCAGGTCATCAATGGCGGCCACACGACCCATCCTGTCCATGTGGTCTCCCTCACCTCCGGCACTTACGGCATGCTCAGGCTGGACAACGACGAGCGAGGGTTGCCTTCGCCACCGACGCCCCCGCAGCAACAAGAAATCACCGTACAGAGCAGAAGATTGAAGGGAGGGTCGCCGGCTTGCGGCGAGGAAGCCCTGAAGTCATCAATGTGTGGGAGCTCATGGAAGGCCTCGACGCCGGCGAACCAAAATCGGAAGACTTCGAGCCCGAGGCCGCGGGGACTGCTCCAAGGTCTCGCGAGCATCGACGCGAAGACTCCACTCAAGTTCATGAACCAGATTGGTTCTCCGAGGAAGGCAAACACTTAACGGAGGCAAGGAAAACAAGGGGAACGCAGAAAATGGGTCGAATCAGGTACGGGGAGATCCGATGTCATCCCGATTCGTAATCAATTCACGCCTGAATGCCTTCCCACTCTTTAGATTCAGATCTAGAACTTGAAGTTCTGACGGCGTCGAGCTCGATAGCGAGGAGGTAGTTGAAGAACTGACGTTGCTGGCGTTGAGGAGGCCCAGATATTGGCTGGGCAGGGCTCAGAGGTCCATGGTAGCAGAGACGGCGAAGGTGAGGCCATGGCCGTTGAGATTCGAGCGCTCGGTGACTGCAATGAAGACGAAGGAGGAGACGTCGCCACCCTTTGGGTTTTTGAACTGGAACGGGAGTAGTAGAAAGCGTGGCCCATCAGGCAACTTGCCTCGTTGGTGAGCTTGAGGACGCCATTGTTGTTGAAGAAGAAGATGGAGGTGAACTCAAGAGCTGCAACTTTCCTCCAAGCGCAAGCATGAAGAAGATGAACAGTGAACAGATAAAAAAAGAAATATCTTTGGACGATTATGCCCCTAGTTGTGTCGCCGGAAGATTTGAGGTCCTTATTTGAGACTAAATGGTCACCTCGGACCCTTATTTGAGACAACGTTAACTTCAGATCCTCTTTTGAGAAAATTCATCCACTTTGGGGCCTTATTTGAAATTTTCCCCCAAATTTATAATCCATGAATTCGAGAATTCATGAATGAAAGAAAAAAGGACCTATCTCAAGTATATTTATTATCACCTAAAGTTCAGCTCCTTTTTGAGCCAAATGCCTGATCTTGTGACTTTTTGAGCTTCCAAATAATGTAATTTACATATAATTTTATTCACGGCTCCATTTATTTTGCGGAAAATAAATGATCCTAAAAATAAATTTTTGTATTACTTGAAATAATTAGTCAATAAAAAATGTTTTCGTTATCGACGATAATTTTTATTCAGATGCTTTATATGGAAAGTGTTTAAATAAGAGGACATGTTGACAACAAGAAGGCAGAGAGGCAGAGCTGTCATGCACTCCACCACATCCATCCATAGATAGTCGGACACACTCCACGCAACAAACAACGTACAGTACGCACGCACAAAGACAACGACAAAAAAAACCAGGAGAAAAACAAAACCCCACGAATTTCAAACGGCGAGGTGGGCCCCGCCGCCCCTTTCTCTTTTGACTCCCGCTTTCCGCGGTCCGGTCAGTCTTACAGCTGGAGAGGCGGTCCGAATCCAGGCCGTCTACCCCCTCGGCCCCCCAATCAACGGCTCAGGCCAACCGTCCCCGAAAACGACCGGAGGAAGAAAACCTCTTTCTTGCTTTCTTCTCTTCTTTTGGTTCTTTCTTCTTCTTCTTCCTCCTTTTTTAAGTTTTCAGCAGCATGTTTATAAATAGACCTGATCATGGCGCGTTGCAGCTCGGAAGGTCGCTTTTGGATGAGCTTGGACGATGCTTTTAGATTAGGACGAGGACCACGAAAGATTCCAAATTAATATATCCGTGATAAATTTATTCTAGACTAATCTTTCGATTATTAAAAACTCTAAATCGGTACACATGTGACAAATTTACTATCTGTTAGTTCACGTTAAATTTTACAGTCAAATTGTTGAGTTGGATAATACATAGCAGTTGAAGGATGTACTGATTTTTAACTTTTACCCCTCTGCTTGTCATAGTTGTATACGTTTGTGACTTTTCGTGATATTAATCCAATTTAACATAAACTAACGGAAGGTAAATTGTCACAAGTGTACCAATCTGGGGTTTTTTATGGTTAAAAAATTAGTTTGGAGCAATTTTATTGTGGGTGTACCAATTTGGGGTTTTTAATGGTAAAAAAATTAATTTAAAGTAAATTTGTCACGGGTGTACAAGTTTGGAGTTTTTTCGTGGTATTAACCCCCTTAATTATAAAGTCTAGCCCGAGCCAGTTAGGCTTGTGAGAATTCGGCCCGACGATTTGATACACAGAATTCTTATTTTTGTAACGTGCGGGACCAGGCATCAGTCCTAGTTTAGGAGGCTAGCCCGATCTGAACCCGCTGTTAATCACTTCCAGTTAAAAAGGTGACTCGGACATATGTTAAGCAATTAAGTAAGGAAATATCACAAGTTACCGTATTATGAAAATCAGACATTTTCTCATTTGATTTGCTTAACAACTGCCTTGAAGAACCACACCATCTCTTAGAGTTACTTTCTTTGGCTAAAAGATTCTTTTTTCATGGTTAATTTAACTAGACATGCAAGATTTTTGGTCCTTTTGTTGGCCATCTTTCACTTAGACTTTGCCGTTTATCTCTCTTTTTCGAGTATAATATTTGAGATTGACAACCTGATGATGTGACTTAAATATAGATATATGCATAAGTATATACAAATGAACACAATGCTTCCACTAGGACAGAAATGTCGCCCTCTCTCTATAACCACCACTTCCTTCCATTTCAACCCAATTCCACGTAGGATGGGCCCCACTCCCAGCCTGGAAGAATCTCCACGTGAACGTCAGTTTTGGTTTGGTTCGGTTGTTTTTTTTTTTTTTGGGTAAATCGAAGTCGAATTTCCCAAAAAGTAAATAATTTAAAAAATACCTTATATCAAAATATAAATTATTTTTAATAATGAAAATATTATTTATTGGTTAATTATTTTAAGTGATACAAGCGATCATTTTTAGAAAAATATTTTTCAAATCATTCATATTCCATGAAACAAGTGGACCTTAAGTTCATGGCACTCTCACTCCTAAACTCCTTCCTTACGTTGGTTACATTGAAACCAGAGTCAAGTTATTCGAGCTCATCTTCATAAATTACTCAATATCGAATCACTTGATCTAGGGTCAAACTTGAGTTTAAGCTGCTTTGATATCTTCTCGAGTTATGTCCATAGTTCAAACTCGCAAATACCTAGCCCAAATGAACCCACTTGAGCTTCTATGTTTTTTTTTTCAAATAACATCGTATAATTATAAAAATCGATATATAATTCCTTCAATTACGTATGACTCACATGTATATAAAACGCGAGGGAATATGTAGAAGCCATCAAGCTCAAGCTCGAGTTCATTTACGACCCGACTGTAGTCGAGACAAGTCCGAGTACCTCGGCTCTCCTTTCAAGTCAAGCTAGAGTAGGAATCTAAGGAAATGAGATAGGCATATGACTATGAATGAGCAACTTGCTAGCAAACAACCTTATCATCTAGGCACACTATCCTTGAAGTGACCAAGCACTGCCAATGCCAGCTATTGCAACTCCTCCTTTGTACTAAACTAGCTTTATTTACTTAGTATTTTTTTTGCGAAAACCCTAATTTAAAAAAAATATATATATATATATATATATATATATATATATAATTTCTATTTTTTCTTTTTAGGGACTTGGATCTTCGAAATTGATTGTT